GAGGCGCCCCCCGCCCGCGGCCGGCGCCTCACCTTGGACTCCCGCTCCTCCAGCAGCGTCTCCAGGCGCTTCTGTGCCGCGCGGCCCTCGTGGTCGTCGCTGACCAGAAGGATGATGTGGTTCCAGCTGTAGACGCGCATCATCTCGAACCAGACGCTCGACTGGTGGGAGTAGGGCGGCACGGTGCGCAGGAAGCTCAGGTGGATGCTCTGCGGACACGTGGAGGCTGAGGGCCTGGGCGACCGGGGCGCCCCCGCCCCGCCCCCGCCCCGTCTGAGCGGCGCGCGCCCCCTGCCGGGCGAGCCGGCTCAGAAAGTCCTCGCTGGCAGATGGCACCTCGAAGACCCCACTGGGGCTTCCCACGGGCGCTTCCCAAATTTACACGGCTGGTGTTTGTCAGGGGTCCCTCACTCTGGGGTCTGAATGTTTCCTCTCGTCTCTAGAGGGTGTGCTTGCCGGCCTTGCCCTGCCTGTCAGCCACGTACTGCCAGGGAGGGACCGGGCATGGAGCAGGCTCTGCCCTCTTCAGCCCAGGTCCTCTGCGTCTGTCCAGGTAGCACTGGCATGTCCCAACAGTGTCTCCGCGGACCCACACTGATCTAGTGGTCCTCTGAGACCAGACTATCTCTCATCCTGCTCTCTCTTTGTGGCCTGGGGGCAGTGCCTTGGAACCTGAATGCAAGAATGCCCCGGGGGCTGTCACTGGGGTCTGGGACTGGCTTGGACCCAGGCCTTCCTGGTCCATGTGCTGGGAGCAGATGGGCTGGGGGTGGGACCGGGAGGGAGGCGGGGCGGAGCTGTGAGGTGTGGCTATTAGGTTTGCCCTTGTGCTCCACCCGAGTTCGGCCATGGCCTGGATCTGGGCTGGGACATGTGACAGGCCGGGGCCCTGTTCCGGAAGGCGACCCTTCCTCCAGCCTCCCGTGCGCCCCCTCTTTCCTGGGTAGCAACACTGCTGTCCTCTGTGCATCTGAGGGGGCCGCTACTCAGAGAGGTAAAGGGGCAGTGGCCGGAGGGCGCAGGAAGCCTCCGCTTCCCCACAGCCAAGCGGGCCTCTGCTGCCCGCCAGGGCTTCCTGTCGGTGCCTGTCACCTCTCGTAGGCCATGTACCCGAGCGCGTGTGGGGAGCGTGTGTGTGAGTGTGGCTATGAGTGTGTTTGAGTGTGGACATGTGTGAGTGTGGAGATGTATGAGCATGTGTGTGAGTGTGGACGTGTGCGTGTGTGGGAATGTGTGTGTGTGAGTGTGGATGTGCATGAGTGTGTGTGAGTGTGGACATGTGTGAGTGTGGAGATGTATGAGCATGTGTGAGTGTGCACAGGCGTGAGTGTGGATGTGTGAGTGTGTGTGAGAGTGTGACTATGAGTGTGTGTCAGTGCGGATGTGTGTGAGCGTGGGTGTGAATGTGGACGTGTGTGAGTGTGTGTACGTGTGTGAACGTGGACATGTGTGACTGTGTGTGTGTGGACATGTGTGAGTGTGTGTGTGAGTGTGTGTGGGAGTGTAGCTGTGAGTGTGGACATGTGTGAGTGTGGATGTGTGTGAGTGTGTGTGTGCATGTGTGTGAGTGTGGACGTGTGTGAGTGTGTGTAGGAGTGAACATGTCAGTGCTATGTGCATGTAGCTGTAAGCAGGTGACAGGGAGGGTGCGTGCGTGAATGTGCGTGTGAGTGGCAGTGTGCGGGTGAATGTGTAGATTCGTTTGTATCTGTGAGTGTGTGCTGTGCATGTGCATGAGTGTGGGTGACTTGTGCATGACTATGATACTGTATCTGGGCGTGTGAGTGTGAGCAAATGTGTGTGCTCGTGTGTCACCCATGCTCCCTGAGGCCACAGCACATGGTCTGTGAGCCTGTCTACGCTCCCACCCCAAGCAGCTGCCAGAGCCGGGGCCGCAGGCAGGAGCGAGCGTCGGGCCCACGGGGTGCTCAGGCTCACCTTGTCTGAGTAGATGGACATGCGGGTGGTCAGCCCCAGGACAGGGATGCGGTAGAAGCCAGCTGTGTAGGAGACGGGGGTGGGTGTGAAGTGGTCATTGGGGGTGGGCGGGTGACTGACGAGGATTGCGTAGACCTGTGGACAAGGGGACAGAGTCAGCTCAAGTGAGGGTAGGCAGGCACTGTGCCGGGACCACCAGCCAGAAACAGCAGAGGCAGAGGCTGAACTCAGCAAGCTGGGGGGCATCCAGGGGGCACCATCTGTGCACACACAGCCACAGGGTACACACCCAAAGGCAGGGGAACAAGACCCCATTACCACCCTTGGGATATAGATGAATCAAAGGGTGAGTTGGAGGTAAAGCAAGACTCTAGGGCCCACGCAGAGAGGACAGACCACCTCGTGCTTCCCTTTTCCTGTCCCCCCTCCCCTCACACTGCAGGGGCTGCCCTGACAGGGATGGCAAAGTCCTGTCCCCTAGCTATACCGGGCGCCCCCAAGGTAGGACGCAGCCCCTAAATGGGCTGGGGAGAAGGCTGGTCCTAACTCAAGCTGACAGCCACACCCAGGCCGTCCCTCATCACGGGTCAGAAATGGATGGAGCTGGCACTCCAAAGATGGAGGGGTCTCCGGAAGATCTACATGGAAAGTCACAGTCCAAGTTGAAGCGGGAGAGGCCAGGCAAGGGGCCACCCAGAGGCCTCGGTCCCCTTGCGGGCATCTGACAGGGGCGGGCCAAGCTTGGCTGGGTTTGAACAAGACCCAGTGCTGACTCCGAGTGCTGACCTCATCCTCACAGGAAGGAAGGGAGGCCTTGGGCACAGCCCTGCCTCCTGCCTGGACCAGGTGGGGGCAGGAGGGGGGTAGGCAGCTTGGCCTCACATTAGAAGGACCTGTGTCTGTCCCAACTCTGCCTGCTCCTCTCTGAGCCCAATGGAACACGTGACTTAAACCACTGGCCACAGAAGCATCAGCCCTGTCCCATGGTGCTCTGGGCGTGGGAGCAGCTCGTGATGTGGGGAAGGGGAGATTTCAGAGCAAAGCTTGGAGCTGTTTGAACTGGCTTGCCCTCCCCTGGCCCTCACCTCCAGTCTGCACCCAAAGGTGCCCGGTCAGTGTCTACGTAATCATGTGTGCGTGAGACATAAAGGTCCATGAGTGAGCATGTGCTGGGACATGCGTGTGCCTACCATGTGCCCCCAACATGTCTATATTTGTACGTGCGTTTGGATGCATGATTTGGTGTGTGTGAGCACACATTTGCACGTGCACCTGAGTATGCCAAGCAGTGTGTGGCACACGAGTGTGCGTGTCCAGGGATGTGCACGTGGGAGACAGGTGTGTGTGTGAGTGAGCGTATACAACCGCTTGTGTACTGCTGGTGTGCAGGAGTGTGTGCTAGTGTAAGGCTATGCCTCTGTGTGCACCGCGTGGGTGTCTACGAGTGCCTGTGTCTGCCGGCTGAGCAGGCGTGAACTGCACGCGCAGGAGCCGTCTTGCCTCTTACATAAAGTGCTGCAGTGCAGAGATCCTGCGGCTTCATTGGGATTCAGCAGGCGGCGCGGCCCAGGGGCGGACAGCTCCGACAGGCAAAATCCCAGGAGTCGTGTCCGCCCCCGGAGCGCGGCACTGGCTGCCAGTGGCCCCCATGCTGTGATCTGACGACTCCCACATGTGCTGTTTCCAGTCCCACCCCACAGCACACCCTGCGCCAACACCTGGGCCATCTCCCATCTCAGGCAGACCTGTGGCTGCGGGAAGGGGAGGGAGGAAGGGAAGGAGAGCTAGAAGCAGAAACAAAGGTGGCCCCAGGCCCCATCCTGTTTAAAGCCCTACAGTGCCTGTTTGTGACTGGGACAGGCACCCCTGCCCATAAGCCCGGGTGCTCCCACCCCCCACGTGCTGATGAAACACACTGCCAAATGCCTGTCACACGTCTGCACACACTGCTCAGGGCCTGGAGCCCCGGAACCCTTCTGAGGACTGGCCGCAATGGCAGGTGACCAGTCTGGGGGCCAAGATGGGGCACTGGCTACTAGTGAGGCCAACCCTCCCCAGAACGAGCCGGCTGACTTGCAGGTGCTCTCTCCAGAGAAGGCAGAGGGCTAGGAAAGGGGGGTGAAACTAGCACCGTGGGAGGGGAGGAGGGTGAGGGGGGGAGGGTGGTGGGAGGGGGGAGGGGTAAGAGCTGGCGCAGTGAAAGCTCTGGGGTTGGGAGGCTGGCACCTGGCTGGAGATGAGGTCCTCGCACACCGACAGGGCCATCTGGATGGCGTTGGGCTTGTGGGTGACGGAGGTGGCATTGAGCTGGATCTTCCAGGAGCCATGCCGCTTGTTGGCCTGGTTCACGGCCTCGCGGAACACCTGCTCGTGCTTCCGCGTGCTCAGCACCGCGCCGATGTTGACGATCTTGGGGTCGCAGGCGGCACGGGCGAAGGAGCAGGAGAAAAGCAGGGCTAGTGTCAGCAGGCGCATGGTGCTCATGGGCTCCGGGCAGCGCGAACGCGGGGCCCTCGGCGCATCCCCAGCAGGGCGCCCCGG